ATTATACTAAGTATGACCGGTCAGACTTAGTGTAATTTGTAAAAAAAAATTGTAGACGGATCCTTCTTATATATATATGTGTGTGTGTGTCTGTGTAAGGGATAAGATCCTTTAACATCAGTGTCAAATTTAAAATTTGACACCTCATCTGATAGTCATTAGATCAAAAAAGATCAACGACTCTGATTTGTAAGCATATGACACTATTGATCTTTTTTTATTTAACTGCTCTTAGATGAGGTAACTTATAATCTATGCAAATTATTCAAATCTTTTACCTCTAAATTAATCTCATTGGCTTCATTAGAGCAAAGTTTAGAGTAAAGGAAAAAAAAAAATATTTCAAGTCAGATAAATCACTAATATGATGATATTATAAAGGAAAAAATATTTATTTTTAAAGGGTAGTCATTTTAATTAAAATTAATGATTTTATTTAATATTTTAAAAAAATTACTTTCTTCCGCCATGATTTTATTGTTTAACTGTTTCTTTTACCATAAATACAGTAGTTTTGAGTAAAATGACACAATTCTATATTATTTAAAAAATAAACACTAATCCCTATCAATGAAAAAAAATTAAATTCAAATTTAAATCGTGCAATTATCATTAATAAAATCAAATGAATCATCCGTGTTAACTAATTTCTATATTTTTTTTTACTGGTTCATTGGAAATCAATTAATCCGGATTGAGCACTATAAATCTCATTTAAGAAGAATGTATCTCCATGTTTATATATTGGTCATACCTCCATGTTTAGAGTTTCATTCTTTGGGTGTGTTCTAGCTTGGGCTTATATAGCTTGTGGTTGTGGATGGTGCTCTCCTTAATCGTGCATGATAAGGGGCGTTTGGTTCAGGTTATTGAAATATTTTTTCATGCATCTGACTTTGGTATTCTGTGTAGTCCATGTTTGGTACACGATATTAAAATATTACCCCAACTAACATATTTGCCTAGCGTTTGAAAAATGCTTGTAAAATGGGGTAGAAAACACTTTTCTAAAAGACCACTTCGAATATAGTATTTGTATTTAACTGGCTAAATGGCAAGGACAAGCATATGCAGACCAAAATACCCTCATCTAACCTAAGTAGCGCAAAAGAGAGAGTTCGTACCAGCACCCCTGTCTACATATCTGCAAATATATTCTGATAGTATTAATGCTAGGAGAAGGTTATACTTACAACCTATTTTCGTGTACAACTTCTTATAACCATATCTTAAACGTTGATTTCCGCCAATCAATGGTTAAGATTTTTGCAAAACAAATTTATTAATTAATTATTAATTCGCAATAAATGATAATTGTTGATTGGCGGAAATCAACAGTTAAGATATGGTTGAAAGATGTTGTAAACGAAAATAGGTTGTAAGTATAACCTTCCTCTTTGATTTTCGCAAAACAAATTTATTAATTAATTATTAATTCGTAATAAATGATAATTGTTGATTGGCAGAAATCAACAGTTAAAATATGATTGTAAGAATATCATAATAAATTCTTCTATATTAACACATAATTTGTTCATATGAAATTTCTATGTGTGTCTCTCTCATCATTAATATTTCATAAATTAGGTCTAATTAAAAATTTTGAAAAAAAAATACAATTTTCACATTATTAAATGCCGTTAAATTATATTATGAGAAAATTCACTAACATTCTAGGGTGACGTCATTAGTATTTCCATGCCCTAAAAATGACGCTTTTACGGGGTGTATAGTGTGCCCTTTGTGATTGCAGTGATTATAAGATATTTTGTTATAGAGCTCAACTGTCCCACTCCCAACGTGATGTGTGTATTCTTTTACAAACAGGATATTCTAGAATATAATCAATGAAGGTTGGGTTGGATATAAATAGCCTAATTAATAAGGTAAGTAAGGCATGTGGGGATATACGGAGTTCATTTTTTTTTTAGTTAATCTAATTATAATTATCTTTTTAAGGAGAGTTGATTTTTTAATATTTTTATAAGTTTTTAGCCAGTTATAAAACTAATTTGAAGTGTAGGATAGATCAGAAATAAAAATATTTAAATTTCTCTTAATTGTGGTATATGGAATCAAACTAAGACTATTTCTTTTGCACTTATTCAGTTATCTTGTACCACTTTATAGGTATGTTTGGTGTAATGTAAAAGACTTGATAGTATAAGCTTATACTATACGTTATGACATTTTCAGTTGTTTGGTGTGGCCATCGTATAGTATAAGCTTATACAGTATAACCCCGTAATACATCAAAATGATATATAACTTAATCTGGCCTAAGGGGTGGATTAGGTCTGATAAGGGGTTGATGTATTAATATTGCTTAAAATTACAATTCTGAAGAACTAATATATCATTTCAATATTAATATATTAAAATAATTTTTTTAATATATTACTTTTTAAAATATTGAAAGATATTATCTTATACAATACCATACTAAATATTGAAGAGTATTAAAATTTAATCAGGTCTTATACTATCACACCTTATCCTATACACAAAACATGGCGTGGGTGCTTAAGTTAAAGGTCGTTAAATTCGTAGCCAATCTTCAAATGTTATGACGTATGGTCTATATTTATTTCCGATTTGACTTCAATTGAAGTAGTTGATGTATAATTCCAAGTTATTAATGCATTGGTCTGACCAATTTGTAGTTAACATGTTCCTAGCTTATTATCCAAAAAAAAAAAAAAAACATGTTCCTAGCTTGGCCAAACAAAACCTCTTTTCCAAGTTGTTATAAGTATTAATATAATATAATACATTCCAAGTGCGTGGAAAAACATAAACTCCTTGTACGAATATCTTATTTATTATATGTTTGAATACAGAAATAACAATGAATTTTAACTATTTAAATAATTTATTATACAGTTTAAATTTAATATATTATTGGTGCAAATCTTCTTTACAAAATTATCTAACAATTTAACTAAAAGAATTAGACTTTGCTTACCAAAAAAAAAAAAAAAGAATTAGACTTTCTAGCTATAAGTTGTTAAGGTCAAATTTATTTATTAATTTGATTATATATAATTGAATAATAATATTAAAAATTACTATAAAACTACATCAAAATTAAATCTTTTATTATCAGTAAACTTTTGTTTCTTTTAACTAAAATTCATTTTTTTTTAAAATGTAATCATTCAAAATCACACAATAGAATCATACTAAATATTTCGGAGCAAATTACTAACAAAGGTAATTCTTGAGATTCAAATATCGCTTCTTTTACTTTATTTGAATTTTCTTCAATAAAATAGTGTAATATATATATATATATATATATATATATATATATATAGATACGCACGCATCTGTCGTAGTTATTTAACATACAATTATCTCATCATTAACAACATTTAATTATATTCAATCAAAAGGGAGATAAAACGTCACTAAGCATTACCCACGTATTTTGCCTCATTTTTTATTTTCTTATTTTTAATCTCCATACGAAACTGAACATATCATCACCTAAAAGTTTTTATTTTTTTTGGGTACATATCACCTACGAAGTATCGACACTTCAAAAATTTTGGCGTGTCGTGTCCGACACTTACCGACACTTCAATACTCGTTGCAAAGACTCAAAAAAAGTTCAAAGGTTACGTTGCGTTGCATTTTGAGTTCTAACTATTAGATTCGTTAGATTACGATTACGATTTTATTGAGTATAATATAAATATTTGGGATATATTATGTTTCTTTGCAAAATTGATGGATATTATAAGTTTAACTTTATTTTTTGTTAAATTATTAAATACTAAATATAATATAACTACATAAGTTAAAAATATTATATAATATCAAAACATGTCCTAACGTGTCAAAATTTAATATTTTTTAGAACTAACGTATCGAAGTGTCATATCGTGTCATATCCCATGTCCCGTGTCAGTCTCGGTGCAATATAGCATATCACCTAAAAGTTTCTCTCGGACAAGTGGAGTGGATGGAATTTTGACGTATCAATTGGTACAGTCCGGGTGGGGGTTGTGGCGTGCTGTGCCGGTGAGTACCACAACTTGGAATTTGAGGTGAGTCAAATTTGGCTGTCTCCGAATGGCAATTGGTGATTGGCATTTTGACGAGAAAAACATAAATGAGAATATCTCTAAAATCCTATATCTCATTTCATTCCAATCCCAAATGTAAATATTCTCTCTCTTCCACTTAATGAACATTTCTATCTAAACTCACTTGACTTTGAAGTCTGAATCTTTCCTTTCTCCCCATGTTTTGCTTTGCTTAACTTAGATGTAATTACTATTTTTTAAACTTGAAGAATAAGACGATCTGATAAATATGGTGATCATTAGAATGAGGAAGAAGACAATTTCAAAAACAAGACATGAGAATAAGAATAAATTTACTAATTGAAAATTTATTGATTTTTTTTTTTTTTTTAAACAAAAGGCCTAAGCCAAAATTTATTGACCTTAGTATAATTAACAACAACTTATTTCGATCAATTATTAAGACATATTCCAACCATTGTATAAACAAATATCCGGAGCTTCAAGGGGACTAAATAAACCAAATTGTCTTACTACAAATTTAACCAAATAAAATAAGACTGAACCTTTTAGAAAAATCTATTTGGCCTACTGAACTAACCTATTTTTTTGTTAATTAGATACAGGATTTATAATCCTTACATACTTTGTTAATTATAAATTAATATAACATTAATTTTAGACATAATAGAATAAATTTTAATAAATGATACACTAATAAGAAAATTGGAGTTAAAATTTTTCTGTCTATTTAAATGTCTAAATAAACCTCTAAATATGCTTTCAGGTAAGTTTTTATGTTTTCATTAAAAAGTCCAGTCATAAAAAAAAGTCTAAGATAAGTTACCAGCCAAGCTCATGTTAATTTGCAAACAGACTAGGCTTATTTGGGCAAAGTCTAATGTAGCCTAGCATATTTTCATCTCTAGCAGTAATCAATGATAAAAAAAATATAATAGCGCCTAAAAACTCTTATGCAAATAAACTCATAACCGTATTCTTGCATGATTCCACCTCTTATTCTGTACAGAACATTCCGGATAAAATCAAAATTTGTCTAACTCTGACTATATATACATGATAGAGATATATCAACTGATACTCTGGCTTTAAATGAGAAGATTTGTGATATAATCATATATATATCATTAATGTAAAACCACGGTAATACATTCTTTTCTCTGAACCCACGTGATCTTGCAAAAAAGCCATGGGGACATTCTCTGATACCTGCGCTTGAGCTCTTCAGACTTCTACGCTGTTGTTTGTTCGATACAAGCTCAGCCTTTCTCAGGTGCTTGCCTTTCTTCAATTAGAAATCCAAATGTCAAATCACTCCTCTGGCTGAAACATAGTGTACGTTGAAGAACTGGTCTCTGTCTTTGTAACCTGCACATCAATCCAAGCGTTCTTGGTGAGGTGAATCTACAAGAATGTGATAACTGATAAGTAATTCTTAGCTTACCATATACAGTAACCCGGGGCTGCAGGGAGATATATCAAATATTTCGTGTCACTGATGATTTTTAATTGAAAATTTATTCTCCCTGCCACCTTTTTATTGTCAGAAAAAGTTATGCAGCCATAGGGCTGCTTTTCCTCTATAAATCGTAAAATGATAATTAGAGAAATATTGGAACCAATCTCCAGGAAGTAACATAAGTCTCAAAATAGTGGTGATGTATCTAAAATTGCAACTATCTGGCTCTCTAATTTTAGACTTCATTCATAGGTTCTCCACATCTTTTCAACAGGTGACGAGGTCCAAATGTGATAAGAACTTATCAGAAAATAACGTTTTGCATAAAATTGCATCCATTATATTGGTCCAAGACAGAACAAATTAAATTTGCTGACAGCCTGACACTACCTTGTTGGCTTAATGGCATAGGGAAACAAGTCTTCATAAACATGTAATCACCAAGACTTACAAAAAATTTTATATTATGGTAATAATTCAAAGAATATTTTAATGAGAACAAATTGATAAACATACACGCCCACACTCATGTAGATTTTATTTTATTTAAATTTCCTTTCTAACTCAATCATTTTTTTCATTTTAAATATCCGGAAGACATGATGTATAATATTGATCATTATTTAAGCACTATTAAAAAAAAAATTTAAGCACTTCCAATCCTTCTAAAGAAAGTAAAACACTTTAGTCATTATACCAACCTCAGCTGTACGAGAAAGGCCAGCAGGAAGTATAGGAACGAGAGATGTCCAGAGAACAGGATCTATCAAAGGATCAACAGTATTGTAGGCTGTCAAAAGCGGTGCAGACAAGAATGGTGTCAATGGGTAAACATTTCTTTGAAGAGACAACGTCCCACTCATTCCCATTGCAATGTCAAGTCGATCATTGCCACCATCATGATTTGATGGTTTCTCAACTGCCTTGCCATGATCCAACTTATTAACTGTGTTTTTGTTTTCATTCTCATCATTATCAGTGCTATTTTCCTGTCTCTTTGATGCTTTCTCTTGCAAGCTCTTGTAAGCAGCAGATTGTGACAAGATACTTAAGGCAGAGACTGAAGAATTTCTATGCTTTTTATCATTGTGGGGCCTGCCTAACTCTGGCATCTGGTATGGTTCTGTAGGTTGGACTTTCTGTTCCAATGTTTTAAGTTCACTGCAAATATCTCCAGCAAAACCATGCTTCTTTTCTTCTGATAATCTTGTTCCAGCATCAGGTTGTCGACTCTTATTAGATCCCCACCACTTGATGTGACTTGTTAAATCAATCTTTCTTTCTAAGCAGAAACCACTTACATATTCACTTTCAGCTGCAGAATCATCCCCTGTACCTTTAATGTTGTAAAACAGTATGACGCTAGTGATCTTGCAGATAAAACAGGTGGAACTGATTGAATACTATTACTTTTTGTTTTTTAAATAGTCAAAGGTGGCGCACAAATGAATGTGCTTCATATAACTGTGTTCAATAGAAGATTAGCTTGAACTAAAAATTTGATTAGAACGTACCATAATGTATACTATTGAAGTAATCAGATCCTGCCATACGGCCATATGATGGCTCCCATCGACTAATTTTGGTACCAACACATGCAAAATGAAATGCGGAGTTAAAGTTAACAATCAATTCCATGTCAGAATCTATATATTGGATGACAGCTACACCAGATCATAAAGAACTGTAGTTGTGTTGCAAAGCAGAGAAAGGCAAAGTCAGCTGATCATTGAAGAATTAGCTCTACACACATAACCACATAGACTCAGAGATCTGAATATAGATTTTTTTTTTTTTTAAAAAAAAATGAATTAACTGGCAGACAATTTCTGTAAAGACATTTCGATGGATTCACACCTTGAGAGTCCACGGTATTTTGATAATCCTCTTGAAAATCCACTGCTCTTCCTGCAGAAAGCATCACATGTAAGCAGCAGTATGGCTACATGTTAGAAAATATTTTGGTGAAATACACACACACCGCCGTAAAGATGCAAGGTATTCTTCTCTCGAAACATTCTGCATTTCTTCAAGATCTCTTGCATAATCAGTCACCTGCAGCACACAGATCAAACTTACTACAAAAATCATGGTATTTACCAGAGGAGAACAGCTAACACCCTTTTCCTATCAAAGAGCACTGTATTTATAACGTCAAATGCAGAACCTAGTTACCAACAAATATTTCCATCTTATGCAACTGGTTATCTTGGGCAAAGAAGGCACCATAGATACTATACTCAATAGTTAACATGCAAAATTAGAGCTGCCTTTAAAGTCACCATCTCCACAGCATCTTTTGATGCAAAATACGAAGCAGGAAATAAGAAGACATCATTTTCATCTAGCACTAAGGGAACAAGAAGCACAAAACTATACAGCATTTTTCAATTAATGTGCCCTCCAAAAATCACCATAATCATGCAAGCAATTATCTTACCGGAAAGTTGATGAGAGTCCCAGGACCCCAATATTTCAGAGCAGCAAGGTCATAAGCTCTAGCTGCTGCTTCCTCATCATCATATGCCCCTGCCGAAAAGCCATCAGCAACAATATTACAAATGATAATAATGCAGAATTCAATAAAAACCAGTAAACGAAAAGAAAAAAAGAACAAAGGAGGAACACAACTTACCCAAGTAAACTGGCATCACCACAAATGAATCGTTGTCCAATCAATTCGCGCACAACATAAAAAAACGAAGAGAAAGTAAGTAATTTCAGGATTACACAAATTTGAACCAGAAATGTGATCAACAGTATCTTCCTACACAATATAGGCATGCGTTTAGAAAGAGACCTTGCTTTCCTTTCTTATTCTGGTTTTGGTTCCATGTACTTTTATCCCAAAGATGCGCTTCATAACGACCAGTCCATCTATGCCTAATAAACAATTCATAATTCGCGAAAAAAAACAATAGATCAATGAGTAGAAATGCAGTAGAAAAATCTCGAAGATGTCAAATCCAATAAGCATCTCAACCAACTCTTAACTGAATCAGTTTCGTGAAGTGTACCTGGTGACACCACGGTATATGGAGCTGCGTTTCCCGGCGGCACAAGGAGGCATTTTGCTGATGCGTTCTTTGGCGGTGCAACCTCTATCTTTCTTCGCTTTCTTCAATCCTCTATACAGTAACAACTGATCGTTCGCCACCGCAGGTTCCGAAGTCTCCGCCGACTTGCCGGGATCGGAGGAAGAGGAAGCCATGGTGGAACCAAACCCTAACCCTAACCCTAGGAAAGAGAAAAGAGTGAGAGAGAGAGAAATGAGTTCCGTTACTTCAGAGTGTTTAGAATTCAGATTCACAGTGAGTGGAGTGAGGGGGAAACTAGAAGGATGAAGAACGAGTAGTTATAATTGGAGTTACGGAAATGCCCTTTCCTGGTTTTGAAATTACGGATTGGTAAATTGGTCCTGTTGAGGTCCTTTGGCTTGGCCTATGTAACGGCTAGGACACCGTGAGGGTAACAACGTCATTTGACATGTTTTTGATTTTATTTGACAATCGTGCATGTTCGGTGCGACTTCCTGTCTGCTGCTGGTGATCCAAACCCACGGTGCCATTTTCTGCTAACCTGCCACAACCTGCCTGCCACCTTGCAAAGGAAAAAGGAAAATTTATTTGAAAAATTTATTCGAAAAATATTTGTCATATCACAAGTTTATGTAATTTTAAGTAAAATTATTATATTCTCGTGTTTTTTATTTTCATATTTTCTCTACAATACTTTAACTTTTTTTCTCCTCTAAATTTTGTAGATCGGAAAGCATATAAAAAATCATTAGTTATGTATCAAAAAATAATAATTTCATTTAAAATGACATAAATTTATGGGAATAACATCTGTCATTTTAAAGGATATAAGCTTATATCATTTTAGATCTTAACCGTTAATTTTCGTCCATCAACGATTATAATTTATTGGATCAAAATTATTAATTAATTAATAATAAATTTGACCCATTATAAGTTTGACCCAATAGATTATAATCATTGATGGAGAAAATCAACGATTAGAATCTAAAATGATATAAGGTTATATCCTTTAAAAGGATATATATTTTTCCCTAAATTTATATATTTTAAAATGAGAAATATTTTTCCTTTAGAGTAATGTAAATATTAACTAAAATATTAATCCACAAAAATTATTATTATTCATTAAAAGGTAAAGGAGTGTGAGATTTGTAGGGACGTGCATGGGTTGAACCGAACCGAATTTTTTGAAAAACCGAACCGAATTAGTTTAAATGGTTCAGTTCGGTTCAAAATTGATTCGGTTCTAAAGTGATTCGGTTTGGAATCGGTTCGGGTCGATCCTATTTTAAAAAGAAAAAAAATTTAAAATTTAAAAAATAAAGTTATGCAAATCAATTTGGTTCGGTTTGAAAACGGTTCGGTTCTTAAACTGATCGGTTCGGTTCATGAACTGATATTTTAAAAATCGGTTCGGTTCATGAACTGGTTTTTAAAATCGGTTCGATTCATAAACTGATTTTTTACTAATCGGTTCGGTTCATGAATTGATTTTTAAAATCAGTTATTTTAAGGGCGGTTCGATTTGGTTCATGGTTCGATTCAGATTTTTACTTATTTTGCACACCCATAGAGATTTAGAAATGGATAAAATAATTCCCCTTTATTATTAATTTTTTTTTTTGGGTGAGGAAAAGAGCTAAACACCCCAAACAAGCTAAGAAAAGGAAATGTGGCGAATCTTGCTCACATGTGAGAGATCCGCCAAAAATAAACTACTTAGACATGGAGGTATAAGAGAAAAACATTTAAATGGTTCTGCAGCCTAATTATGCAACATATAATTAGCCAACCAATCTGCACAACAATTGTCTTTCATGTAAATATGAGTAAATTTGACTTGCCAATCCTTTGATACCCAAACTTCAATATGCCTCTCTCGAGTAGGGTTATCGTTTTCGATAAACTAAACTACAAATTAATTCTTACTTTTTATTAAATAGGTTGTGATTTTGTTAGTTTAACTTATTAATTTTGTGACAAAACTATGATTGCATTGAATAATATTAAATTACAAAAAAAAGTTGTATGATTTGACTTTTTCAACTAGCTAGTTCAATATTAATTTAAGAGAACAGTTTAAAAATTCCATTATGATTTTGATTTCATTCACTTATATCTTTATTTTTTTAATTATTTATTCCTTATGACCATTTTTATCTAAACTCACTCTTGATACCGTTGGAAACTTAATTAATTTATCTATCTTGTCCTTCTTAAAAAAAGAGTAGACTAATGACAAAAAAATAAGAAAAAAAATGTTAGAAACTTACAAATCTTACATAAAAGACTAAAAATATACAAAAAATAAATAAATATGTTTAAATCAAAAATAAAATAAAATAGACTAATGATAAAAAAGAAATAAAATTAAAATTAAAATCAAATATATTGAAAACTTACAGAAAAGACTAAAATAAAAAATAGTCTAAATCAAGAAGAAAAAAATAGACTGAAAATGAAAAAATATAAGAAAATAGAAGAAGAATAAATCACTGCGGTAAGTTTCTAACATATTTTGTTTTATTTTTTCATTTATTTTTTGTTCTCAATTTATTTTTTTCCTTTTCATTTAAATATGTTTGGTCATTTATTCTTATATTTTTATTTATTTTTCATTTTTTGATATTTTATCATTGTTAAAATAAATGGAAGAAAAGTAAGACAAAATATAAATAAAAGAAAAATAACTCAGTATTATAAATTTTTTACATATTTGGTCTTATTTTTTCTTTTATTTCTTTTCTGACTTTAGTCTATTATTTTTTATTTAGATTATTTTAATTTTTATAATTTTAGTATTTTCTCTTACTATTGCAAGTTTCTAACATTTTTTTTTATCCTTAGTCTACTTTCTTATTTTTGATTTATGTATATTAATATTTTTTATTTTTTATTTTTAGTCTTTCCTATAAGTATTGTAAGTTTTCAAAATATTTGATCTTATTTTTTTATTTTTTTTCTCAGTCTATTTTTTCTTATAAGAAGGATAAAAAAGGTAGATTAATTTAATTTTTAATGATATTAAAGATGAGTTTGGATAAAAAAAAAAGTAGGGGGTAACTAATTAAAAAATATACGATGGTGTAAGTAATTCAAATTGAAATCATAAGGGATTTTTTTTAACTTTTTCCTTACTTTAATCTCACTTAATTTTGATTTAAGTTAAATATGTTAAGTCTCCTGCTAAATTAAATGATGATTCATATTCTCTCTGTTTGGTATAAAAAATATTTTTCTCTGTTTGTGTTTTCTCAATTCAAAAATAAATCACAACGTCCTATCTCTTCCAGTTATAATAAGGATGTTGTTGGAGGAGTTTTTTTTATATATTTTTTTAACTTTTTTTCTTGTACTAATGTGTTTATACAAATAGAACTGAAGTAATTGATAACTTGCTGTGTTCATAGCAATAAAAATGAAGTGATTAAGAAATTATAAGAGAAGGAAGTAAAAATTAAAAAAAAAAAGTTGTGTCATTAACATTTATTAATTAAATTAAATTTTATGAGAATATATAATATTCGGTATGGAATAAAATATGCCCAGTCCAACTGATGAAAGCGAGCGAAAACCTAGTGCTTTGATGTTTAGACCTATGCCTGGGCCCGAGTGGGGCCCAAATCCACGAAACACAGAGATTTGAAACTAGTTGAAAGTAACTTGTGATAAATGTTAGGCTCTAATTAATTTTACACTCAAATGTAGTAAAATCACGTTTTAGTTTTTTCAATAAAATAAAATAAAATAAAAATAAACACAACATATTTAAAGAATAAAAAAAATATAACTGTACAAACTAAAAAGTAAAGAATATTCTTCAAAACAAAAAAAGAGAGCAAAGAATCATTACAAATAAAGGGTATTTATAATTATTTTTATATTTATTTATAATTGATTAAAATGATATTTTTAAATGGTAAAATAAAAAATAGAAAAGGATTTAATTTTGATACAATAAAACTTTTTCCACATTATCATTGAATTTTCAACATAACGTTAATGGAGAGAAAAAATATCATTTAATAGTATATTACTAATTACTAAATACGTTTGACCATTATAACTACTACCAAGAAAGTGTAAATATACTAATGATGTGTTAGTAGATTATTATATGATAGTAAAATAAACTTAGACCAACAGTGCATCAACTTCAAGTTCCATATAAAATTTCTTTATATAATATAATAATTTAAAAATTTAACTTAGTTTCATATATAATACTAAAATTATCAAAAACCTATTCTTGACTCAATAGTTGTTACATATGCTAGGGACAAAAACCAAAATGCTACATTTTTAGAATTTTAATTATCCGAATCACACAATTTGGAAATAAAATATTAAAATTAGGATTCACTTGGAGTATCGATGAGTTCAATTTGTTATGTGTCACACGTATAAGAATTCGCTCTAAGCAGTAACGGGTGTTATGATCCATCAATCCTGAAAGCGGGTCTATGTATTTTGAAATTTTAATTATCTAAATGACATGATTCAAAAATAAAATATCAAAATGCTATGTTTTAGTATCCGCTCTCAGTATCAACGGGTTCGATTTGCCATGTGTCACGCATATGGGGACTCGCTTTAAGCACTGACAGGTGTCTAGGATCCATCATTCCCGAAAGCATATTCATGTACGCGTGACACGTAGAAAAATAATAACCCAACTGCATAATAAACACCGTCAGTTGCCACGTGTCATGCATATAAAAACTTACTTTCAAGAGTGATCGATCCTAGACTCATCACTGATGGGTCACTAGATGTGTGACATGTGGCAAACTGAATCCTTCGATATTCAAATTGGGTCTTGAAATGTGACATTTTGGTATTTTGTTTCCGAACCGTGGCATTCTAGTAATTAATTTTAAAATCATGGCAGTTTGGTCGTTGTCTCATATGTTATACCAAAAATAATAATAATAATAATTCACACAAAAATTCTACATAAATTTAAGGACATAAATCGAGTGGTTTGTTTTTCTCATGTAGTAGAAGAAAACAAACCATTCCAATAGACACCATAGAAAAGTGTATCACTTTTTTTCTATTTTTTTTAAAATAGGTGGGTCTCACACTTATTGTATCTATGACATGAAATTAGAAATTTTTTGTAACATGAGACTTCTTTTTCCTATAAATCAAAGTATACAGAGATGTGAAGTAAAGCATTGCTCTTTAATATTTTGTTGGAATTTGTATAGACAATTTATTTGTTATGAATAAGAAGAGAGTTTAAGGAAGAAAAGTAAAGAGAGAAGTTGAAGGGGTGTGCGGGTTTTAAGAAGTCCCACATTAGACAACTAGTAGGAGGTGAGAGAGTTTATAAGCTCCCACCTCACACTCCTAAATTGCCCCTTAGGCCACTTCACTTTTGTGGAGGGGAGAGGAGTTAGGCGGCCTTTGGTCCACCACACGTGCGTCGGCTCGGGTCGGATCATTCTGTTACCTCTGTCCCTATCTGTTGCTTCCCTCCAGATTCTTCAAATCAAACGTTTCTTCCCGCTGATTTTTTGAACCGAACCGGTTCTTACCTTTTGGTTCAAATAGACGTGTTCATTCATAATTGGACCGAACCGGTCACCGGTTGTACCCGTTTGCAGCCGTCAGTCACGGCGGTTCGCCGTCGGCGCCGATTCATCGTAACCAGTCAGTATCTATAAACAGACCCTGACCCCTTTAGAAAATTCATCCGATTTTCTACACTTAGATTTTTTCCTTCATCCGAATTTTGCATTCTCCTTTCATAGTTCCGATGTAATTCCTCTCCGATTTTGCATTCTCCTTTCATAGTTCCGATGTAATTCCTCTGACAACCTGTTGTGTTTCGTTCGGGCTGTTGACTGGTAGTGCCACCATTCTTCGGACGCAATCCGTTCTATCCTGGGAGACAAGTGTCCATCAACCTTCGGCATCAGTGAGGGGGGAAATTGTATTAAGGAGACACTTTCTGTGGGCTCAAATTTCTCACACTATCTTGCATACATTGATCATTTTGTTCATCCATTATCTGACATATTGTAAGTTTGTTATAATTTTCTGACTGCACTGTGTTTGATAATTGTGATTACTAATCTCATATGTTTTATACACGAGTTCAAACTTCTTAGTGATTGTTAATATCACCTACTTTCTTCTAAATAACACATTTAACTCAATTCTCTTAATTAATGAATACTGAAAATATTCAATATTTTTACATTTCTAATCTATTAAATGATCTACTTTTTATCTAATATTTTTTAATTAAATATTAAAGGGTTATTGTAAGAATATTTTATGAAGATACAATAAAACTCAAAAACTAATGTCGAACCCTTATTGTGAGAGGTTGGCATAAGTTTCAGATTGTAAAGCATAACAGTTATAGAGTTCGTCAACTTTAAATGAAGTCACTGGAAAAATCAAGTCCATCAGGCACCAAAGACAGGTTGATCAGAAATTTCAGGGTGAGTGACAATATTTTATTATTGTGCAGGGGAATATATTGACTACTTTCGGTGGAACCTGCTAGAGAGGTCATAAATCTTCAAGATGCTCTATGATTGCATGCAAAACTTTAGTTAAAGGTTTGATGTAACGGTCATTTTTGAAAAAAATTCTAGGACTCTCTTGGTTACTTTATTCTTTTTACTGTGCTAAGTTCCAACATCCCAGGGAGTGTTTTACAGTTGATTTTTTATTTTATTTTATTTTTAATCTTCGAACAAGGGATAAAGGAGTAGAAGTGCTAATAGCCCTACATTACAAAACTGCCTTTTTTTGTCCAATTATAAATTTGTAATCCTATGGTTTAACATTTACTAATTAAGGGATGAACATTAAAAATAAAAATAAAAAAAATCAGCACTTGAGTTATGTGCTCAAGTTGCTACCGGTACAACTTACAAGACCCTTAAATAGAACTGATCCAAAGCTTTAGGCAGAGTGCAGAACAGACCAACCCAAAACTATTAAAAATAGAATTCAAGCATGGCTACTATTTTAAGAATTTCTACGGACTGTGCCATGCGATACGGAGCTAGTGGTTTAATTTTTTTTTCTAGACATAAAAATGTGAGGGTTCAATTTTTATTTTTTTATCTTTCTCCTCCTCGTATGATCTTACATGAATTTCACACACTTTTATATATGTGTTGAAAATCATTTTATCTTACACAAATCCCATATTTGAATCATTATTTACAACTAAACATTTTGTTATAAATATGATTCGAATAATCATTTTCTTTAAACAATAAACTTAACATAATGCCAAATATAGTGTTGAGACTAGTATTAAAAAAAAAACAAATTTAAAAAAAATTCCAAGAAATGCAAAGCCCATTTATATCTTTTTAAGGAAAAAATATTTTTTAATAAAAAATAAGTATTAAAATATTCATGATAATTAGATAAGTTTTTTAAACAAAAATATTATGATGCTTTTCTCAAAGTTTTAAAATAATAGCTTCTGTTTTTATTTATTTATAAATATTAGATCATAATTTTTTTGGATCATCGAAATCCAAACTAGTTCCCCTAAAAATGCATTGTAAAAACCAACTACGTGAAACGCCAAAGCCCCACCTTTACAGCTATTTCGTTCTCTCCCAGGCCATCTACACATTTTTAAAGTGTGCATTCCAAATGGGATTTACAAAAGGAAAACATAAGATCATGCACACAATTGCATAAGATCATGCACACAATTGCAGTTGTGTAACATGAAAAATAATCTTAAACAGGAACATTGGATGATCTAGTATAAACCTGTTTGGTGTTATGTATAAAACTTAATAGTATAATCTTATACTATACGTTATGATATTTTCAGTTATTTGATGTGACCATTGTATAATATAAGCTTATAAAGCAGAACCTCTTAATACATCAAAATGATATATAACTTAATCAGACCTAAGGGGATAGAATTAGACCTGATAAGGGATTGATGTATTAATATTACTTACCAGTACAATTCTTAAGAACTAATATATCATTTCAATATTAATATATTAAAATAAATTTTTTTAACATATTAATTTTTAAAATATTGGAGAGTATTATCTTATACAATACCATACTAAACGCTGGATAGTATTAAAATTTAATCAGGTCTTTACTTTCTGAACTAGTATATACACAAGGAAAACATAAGATTATGTACACAATTTCAGTTGTGTAACATGAAAAATAATCTTATACAGGAATATCGGATGATATAATAAATTGAGGTCCAACTTCGATCTTCACAAAATCTCAGAGGCATTATTCCCACAGCAGTTTGGGACAGCGTGTTAAAGCTAAGCAAAAAAGTTATCCATGACAATGGTCAACTAAGAACAGCAGATTCGTATGGTTGGCTTGAAGAAATTTGATTCCCGGATTTTCTTTTCAAGGATTCTGCACAAGTTCATGACCAGGTTAAATGTTATAGGTCTGACTCTCTAAATACAATGATAATGTCCATCAAAGAGACACACTGTTTTCAAGGATTCTGGTTTTAAGTTCCATCAAGATCCTCCACACGCATGGTGGTGAAATGGGGCACAAAGAGCGTCTGTGCAACCTAACTGCCACCCATTTTGAGCATACAAAAAAGTAAGAGAAGATAAATCTTCCTCGATGAGAAACCAGTTTAATTAAGAAGTAGGTTGCATCAAATTATACCACTTGTATACAGTTTGCATCAAACTAAGAGAACTGTGTGTACTATACAGTTTGCAGAGAAACTTCATTCTGTTAGATGTAAGCCAAAGTATAGGTCATTGAAAAGGTTTGGAAAAGTAAAGACTCCACAGTATTAAAAAATTCTAAAATGGTTGGTTCAAGCACATTTGTAGTTTAGATTGATGGTTTCAGACAATGCACAACATTCTTGTGGCATGAGTACTAAATCTGAACTAGAGATGGGGGTTAAGTGCTTGGGTAAGCTGTAGATGCACACCCCAAAATAAAAATCCAGCCACATGCCTAAGCAAAATCACAAGTTGATGGAATAATATAGACCTCTTCAAACGAGCAGAGTGCATTAAATGAGTCAAAGAAAAGGAAACACAATTCTCAATACAAGACACAAATATACATACCAAGTCTTTCTTTTATGACAGCAGCATTTTCAGCCCCACAGCATTTTTGCGAAAAGGAGGATATGTCATGGTACATGTCATTTGATGGATGAATTCCAGCATCCTCCATCCATTGCAGTACCTGCATCAGAGTTTGCTTGATTTTCCAAATGTGGTTTATTACAACACGAAATACTCAAAAAATGAAACTGTACATGACTGAATATCAAATACAATCATGAAAAATAGAAGTCTCCAAAGGACTAGTATAAGTGGCATTGGAAACACTTCGATTACAAGAGATAATATTTATTAAAATATTAGAATTCTTATCAATTTGGGATAGTGTTATTGGGCTGAGCTAGTACTAGTTGTCCTGCACTATCAGTGAAATGCACACTTTAGTCTACGTTCCTCTTTTTGCATCAATTAACAATGATTTCAACTATATTTAATCAGTTAAAAATCTTATATTTGTTCCAATAACATAGTGATAAATTTCTTCATGCAACAAACCTAACAACCTATTGTTGCCAAGTAGGCATCATACATAAAATGTAACCCCACCAAAATCATGAATTTAGAAACTGTATGTATCATCAATAAATTAAATCTTCAAGAGAAAGGAGGGGGGGGGGGGAGAGAGTTTACCTCTAAATATTTCCTCCAATTTCCGGAGGATAAAAGGTTATTCAATAAAATAGAATAAGTATTGAAGTTAACATTAGCACCTGATGCCAACATTTTGAAGAATACCTGCACGCATGAAAAATAAGATAATAAGAGAGCAGGGTAGTGGCAAATCATAATTAATGTGCTTGGTAACATCAACTAATCATAAGTATCTGGGAGAAGATTTGAGGCACCTTCAACATAGTTTCAATCTTTCCACTTTTTCCTAATGAGTTCAGGAACATATTCAAACATCCAGATGAAATTACAGGAAGTGAGGGCTCTATGTACTTGATCATATCAACAGCTGTCCTCCAATCATGTAATCTTACAGCAAAAGACTCATTCAGTTTGACAGGAATATAATAGGAAAATTCAACGTCAACATCAACAACATCTTTGTCCCAAACTAGTTGGGGGATTATAATAGTAAAATTACTGTAGAAAAAATATCATGCTGTAAAATTTGGTTATCAAACCAAAGAAGTTTGAGTAATAGGAATCTTTCTCTTGTTTCTTGCCCACTCTTCTCATTAAGTCTTCTGAGTTTTGGGGAGTAAAAATATATCAAAAGCACCAAAGGTCATAATATATTGTCAAAACTTAGGGTTTCATCATAAGATAAGACCATGTGATTCTACTCTAAGTTCCACCAATGATATAATTAACAAAATCTTAACATAAAATAATTGTAAAGAAATATATTTTCTGCTACATAACAATAACAATAGCACGTATCAAATGGGGGATAATATGAAACTGTATTGAATTGCGTTTGAAGAATAAAGCCCTTCTACAGCATATACACCAATCAAAGTGGCAAGTAATAAACATCTAATTATGAAAAGTATTAAGAGTGTATTAGAACAACTCAAGTAACTCCTAGGCTAGATTCTGTTAGTCAGTTAACTTGTTTGTTAGCTAACCAGCTGGCATAGTTATGAAGTTAGCTCATTTGCTAACTATAAGTACCAGAACCTTAGAAGATTCAGTTCAGATTTTCAGTTATAGAATATCCAGAGAATACAATCTTTTTATCTCTCTCTCTCTCCACATTTTCATTCAGTTTCTCTCAATTTCCCTCTAGTTCTTGAATCATAATAATAAGCCATAAGAATTTTGAGGTGGAAAATGTCCATGATGTCTTGTCAGGAAGATACCAAGCAAATATCAGCCTCAATTACCTTAACTCTAACAGAGGAGGCACTATGGTAGATGGACATTTTTTCAAGATTCAAGAGAAACCATGAAAGATAAGAAACATTAAAGACAAGTTTAATACATAACCAAAACCTTTTTTTCTGGAGATATAGAAATGAATTACAACTTACAAGCTACAGGAAGATACCATTTCAAAAAAAATGGTATCACTAAAAGGAATCTCTTTTTCTCTCATGCTTTCAGCAAGACCAATGACCCTTCCTGGTTGGCCTCCTTTATTAAAAGCTCTCATCAGGGCTGAACATGCAATAGTATCTAGCTTGATGTTATTTGCTTCCATTTCTTCAAAGAGTGCGTATGCTTTCTCCCATTTTTCTGATCATAAAGTATTGCTAGAAAATTTAGGTATACATTTCCAAATACCATCCTAATATTTCAGTGGTTAAAAATTTATTTTACCAGCTGCATTGTATGCATCGAGCATTGCAGTATATGTAACCACATCAGGGTAGCAACCAGATGATTTCATCAAGTTAAATGTAGATTCTGCTTCTATGATTTGGCCCTAAATCATTATCACAAAGAAAAAGAAACATAAGTCTCAAATTTTATGGATACTCCATGGAGACGCATCCTAACCAAAGCAATTACCTGTTTGCTATAGGCACATATGACAGATGAGTAGACCTCTTTGGACAAAGGAAGTTTTAGTTGCATCATTTCTTCCATAAAAGATATGGCTTCACCATATTTTGACATCTTGCAACAACCACTTATCAACACAGTGTAAGTAACAGAATCAAAATTTATTTTTTTCTTCCTCATAGATTTATACAAGCCTATAGCTTTGTCATATTCCCCTACATTCATATAGCTTCCTATAGCTGAATTATATGCAACCGTGTTCAATTTAATGCCTCGCATCCCAGCTGCTGATAGCACTGTATCAATCTTTACCTTCTGACTGCATCGTCCACAGGCAGCCAAGAGTGTGCATATGGAGACAACATTTGGCTGAATTCCATCTTGTTCCATCTCCCGCAAGATTCCAATTGCATCCGCCAACAAACCATTAGATCCATAGGCATCAATCAGTGCATTGTAACTGACAAGGTTTGGCTTCAATTTGTTTCTCTTTATCATTTCAAATACTTCCCTTGCTTTTTGGGGCTTTTGTGATCTTCCATAAGCATTAAGCAGAGATGTATAAGATACAATATCTGGGCGGAAACCATTTTGTTTTATCTCATTGAAAACCAAAAGTGCCTCATTGTCCATCCCACAAGCAGCATATGCACCTATTAGTGCATTATACGAGACTATATTTGGTTTAAGCCCTTCTGCCAGCATCATATTGAACGCAGCCTCAGAATTTTCAACTTGCCCACACACTGAATACAAGTGAATGATACTAGTGAATGTTACAACATCAGGGTGACAATCTGATCTCTTTTCCCTCATAGAATCAAAAATATCAATGGCTTTGTCATATTGTTGAAGCTTCACTAGACAATGGATAACAATATTAAGTGTAGTTGTGTCAGGACGAATGCGAGTTCCCTTCATTAGTTCAAAATAAGAGAGAGCTTTTGAATACTGAGCTCCACTTTTAAATGCAGATAATATAATATTGTGAGTAACAAGATCAGGCCCAACCCCATTGTCTGTCATTTTCTTGCAAACATTAAGTGCTTCTTTCCAATTTCCACTAGATCCACAGGCATTTATCAAGTTGTTAAAAGTTGACCGACTGGGTGGAATCTGCAACAATATGTTAGTGTCACAAACAGCACTTATAGCTAAGATACCAACTATTAAAGTACTTATTTTTTAAATTCCCAGTTTACAACAGTATAGTATCTGAAGAAGATTGAATGAAAAGCTAGTAAGATCGCATGGATAACAAATATATCATCACCAGGATTAAGTACTCATTTTAACATGCACTGTGACTCCATGACCAGCTAGTGCGGCGTGCGGCAGTTAAGTATACAATGCGTACAACAAATCAACACTGATCATAATGAAACCTATATGGTTCCTGCATCCCAAATTTATTTATTTATTTTTTTTGGGGTGGGGGGGGTTGAGTTTCGACCATCAGGTTAAACAAATTTAATTTATATGCATATAACGGAGAACCCACATGGATCTATATTAACTTATTACGTACATGAATTGCAAGAGGCATGAATGATCAAAAACTGGATCCTGCAAAAATAGGAGACATTCAAGCACCTGAACAATATGGCACAGTAGTGAAGCACTTGTACACATGTTCTCTCTCCCTTCCCCAGATATATATATATATATATGTGTGTGTGTGTTTTTTTTTTTCCCCTTACACTTACTACATTGCCTACATAATTGAAGGATGAATACCATAGAAATTATAACATGCAAAAGTCAAACAAAAAATTGATCGAGACACTAGCTGTAGCAATAAGTTCTGAAAGTCGTAAACACAAGCATGATATCATGTGATGTGATATTTTGAGTAATTTTACGCCCAACTACAATCTAATATTATAATAGAGGAAGGAAACTCAAATGGAAAAAAAAAAGGTTGATCACATCAAGTTGGACTCACTAAAGATTGACTAGGAAAGAAAAATACAAAGTACACACAGCTGCACGCAGCATGTCTTCCATGATATTCATAGCCCAACGCCATTGTCCAGCTCGACCATGCGCATTGATAAGAGCATTGTAAGTCTCAACATCAGGTTTGCACCTAGAAAGCACAATCCCAAAATTATTTATTACTTCATTAGTATAAACCAACTTTAACGTAATATATACTTTTAAAACACATGAAATGGATAGTTACAATTCAACTAAAATCACATTCTATATAAAGTTACTAAATGGTATAAGAATGTTAAATAATAGTTATACCTCCATTCTTGCATCTCAAAAAATAATCCACGTGCTTGGTCAATTCGATGATGTCTGGCCTGCAACCTAATCATCATATTGTAAATATCATTCCGGGCACAATAATTCTTCTGGTTTTTCATCCAACGAAACACTAAGTTACAGTGTTCAATGGACCCTATCTGTGTCAACTCCTACAAAGTTGGAAAAAAAATGCAGATTCAGATTAAAAGCTTCTTCTACTCATTATTCATTTGTGAAGAAGAAAGAGAGTTACAAATTACAATACCCTTATAAGGAAAGGGAAATTCTTGCGTGCGAAGCGCCCCATCCAGCGGTTCAGTACACCCTCGATGTCGTCCTGCAGGGTGAGGGTGAGGACCAAGTCGACAACCTCGGAAACCGTCCAGTCCCTCTGGAAGCGGTTTGCGGCGACTCGGATGCGGTGGCGGGCGGGGATGTCGCCCTTGCGGAGGCCGGAGACCCTGGAAGATACATCGTGCTGTCCTCTGTCGTAGTCCACGAAGCCTTCCTTTGTCTCCTTGAATGCCAACTCGTTCGCCTTCTTTTTGCAGGTAATGGCCGTTCTCGGCCGAGTCGACTCGCCGGTGCCGGCGAGTTGGACACAGACACAGTGAGGTGCGCCGCTGGCCATCGACACCGGGAATGGATTGCGGAAATGAGATTTTGTTATTATTATTATTATGATGATGATGATGAAAATTTTGGCTTATTATTGTAATTGGGCTCCGTTGGGTTTGTGATTGGGCTTGTCGTAGTTGGGCTGTATTAGGTTGATGATTGGGCTTATTATTAACCATGTGATAATGGATATTATGATTAAACACGTGATAATTTCTGTCAAATTTTGGTTGGGGATCACTTGAAGGATCATTTTACATACAATGAAAAGTTTGAGAATAATTCAAATTAGGCATTATTTAAAGTTAAAATATCTAAATTAGTTTTTTTTCCTTAAAAATTTGAGCGTGGACTTCAAAATTATGGTGAAAAATTAAAGTAGCATTTTTTACATACGAGAACCAATGTCTGAGTTATTTTTCTTGTGTGTTTTGACTTTTAACTTTTAAAAAAAAAAAAAAAAAAACATATTTTCATATCTATTCTATGGAACGGTTTAAAAATAAAAATAAAAATCATAACACATTGAAACAAACCCAATATTTGGACTTTCTTGCCAAGCTTGGTGCTAGAATATTCTCTCTTATGAATGACGGAACTCTCTTTCTAATCTCCATAGACTGCAAATAAGAATGTGTCCCAACTAATCTCTCATAAGACAATCCAACCATAGTCTAATTAAGGGTGAGCATGAATCAGTTTTTTTAGCCGATTCATTTGTTTGAGTTGAAGTATTTTATTTAAGGGTTTTTATGTTGTTGGAGATGAGATATCTCATGTTGTGGACTCAATGTGTAGTGAGACCCACACTTATTAAAAAAAATTAAAAATACAAAAAAGGAAGGACAAGAAGTATGAGAGTACTTTCTCCTACAAAGTTATTATGAACTGTTCTAAGCTGGTTTCAAAGCTATTATGAACTGTTTTTTAAACCTATTCTTTTGGTTCAGTTTAATTTGTTTGTTCGGTTTAATTTTTAAACTGATTTATTAAATCAGTTTGACTCTAAATTAGTTCAAAAAAATGCAGTTTCATCATGAATGATGAATTGCTTCACCCACCCACTCTATTCCAAATTGAGAGACAAAACAACATAGGCTAAATAAGTGGGGAGAGAATTTGGATTTGATTCTTGTCAAATACATTTTTGGGGAAGTGCAAAAAGTTTTAATTATGTTTAAGCTTCAACTTAGAGTTAGTCTTACAGCCGACTCAAAGATTTAAAACTTATTAGAATAAGAATGGATTGACTACTTTCAAAGAGATAATTAATGTTAGTATAATTTATTTATTTTTGTTATACCCATAAATAAAATAAAAAAAATAAAATTTATTATAATATTACCTGAGTTATATGAATAATTTTACGTGCATGAATGGGAACGTGTTATTGGTCTTATGATGTGAATAAGATTTTATAATTTGATATAGTAGGTAAAAAAAATTAAAAATTTATATTGTCCTTTGAATTGATTTTTATTCCATACATATATTATTTCAACAATCAAACTAGACATAGTTGTTTTTTTTTTTTTTTTTAATCTATTGTCCCGTCTCTTATTCTTTTAACAAATCAATTTTGATTTCAAATCTATCTTTCTATTTTGTTCATTCTCTTACATTGTTGTGCAATGCTAGAAAATAATAAGAGAACGGACACCATTGCATTGATTACGGATCACGGAATAAAGGCTAAATCAAAAAACCATCGATCAAACAATATAATGATAACATGGAATAAAGGTGATATACTCTGAAACCATTTTCATTGGTCGGAAGTACCTCTGACCAAATTATTGTACATACTACAAAGTTTCACTTGGATGCTGATGGGAAAGAGAAACACTTGAAAATAGACAAATCGCACTATGTTTTCAGCACTCAAACGTGCTCAAATATAATAAACCTCTTTCTAATTTATCAAGTAATGGTTTATATATAATATTTCTTTAAGCAGTGCTTATTTGATTGTTTTCAAACCCACATGATCAACCAATTTGACTTTGCGGCTACATGAACACTACAAACAAGTCATCAAATTGTGCAGGTTCTTTGCACATTGCAAAATCTTTTGAGTGGAAATTACAGCAAGAAAATTTCTATAACAGGCTAGAGGAAGGAACAGATTGATAAGGCTATTAGTTGTCAACCGGTTTAAAATAACCCAAAAGTTTGAAAACTACTTGTTGGTGAAGGTTGTCAATGAAGCAGCCATTGGGTGCACGTGGACACAAATTCTAATTACTGCCCTGCAGATTCCTTCGTTTATATTTTAGTTTACAATTTCCACTTCATTCTATTCCGGATGTGGCGAATGAATGATTTGTGAATGGTCACATGAACGGTTGATAAGTTATCGGAGTATTTCACGACCTTATCATTGTAATTAGAATTATAGGATCACCAACTCGTTAAAACCCTTGCCTAATAATTTTCCTTATGTTCAATTGTAAAATACAACAAAATGGGCTTGAGGAGGAGCAATAAAAAATGAGAGAAATTAAAGGTATTGGCCATAACATACAAAAAACATAACATGTTTAGAGCAAAATAAAAACGTATCAAATTTTATGAAGATAATTGACATTGGTAGCATATTTTAGCCATGCATATTATTAAACTCGAATAGGAGGAAAAAAATCCACATCCTAATTTAGATATCTCTATCTAATTAAGAGACAAATCCACTATTGGATCCTAATTATTTTTCCTTTTAAATTACATAGCAAAGACTTATTCTGACTTTTCTTGAAGTTTTTTTCCCCCGCTAATAAATGGGAAATATGATTCAAATATTTAATCACTATGCATGTTTAATCTTTGGAAAAATTTCTTTTTCACCCATTGTGATTTTGTGATTTATCATTTGACACCCCGTGATTTTAAACTTATCACTTAGACCCATTGTGCTTAAATAATTTATCATTTAACCCCTCGTGGTTTCATATTTTCACTTAGACTCCTTGTGGTTAAAAATATTTTCACTTAGACCCTTGTGGTTTAAAAATTAAAATTTTAAAAAAGAAATAAGAGGAAAATAAATTTTCCCTCTTTTTTATTTTATATCCTCACCTAAAGCATTTAAGGTTTAAAAACTAAAAATAAATTCTAAGAAAGTTCACTTATTTTTATCACGAAAATAAATTCAAATCAAATATTTTTATTTTATCTATTTAAAGAAATTAAATATCTTATTTTGATAGTACATATTTAATTTATCATAGATAATTTTTTTTAATTTCATCTTAAATAATCTTTTTAATTTCAAATATATTTTTAAAATAAAAGAAATTAAGATAATTTAAAAATTAATTTCAGAATAAATAACTTAAAATATATTTCAAACCCTAAATGCATTACATGAGAATATAAAATAAAAAAGAGATCCATCCACGAAAAATAAAAAAAATAAAAAAGAGAGAAAATTTATTTTAAATATGTTTTTAAAATGTTTATTTTTTAAACCACAAGGGATCTAAGTAAAAATTTAAAACTACAGAAAATTAAATGATAAATCATTTCAGCATAATAGATCTAAATAAATGATAAGTTTAAAACCACGGAGAATTCATAAAAATGGAAATGAAGTTTTCCCTTAATCTTTGATGAAACACAAACGAATGGCAGACTTGAGCTATAGCCAACAAGTATCACTTTCCAAAGGAACCGACACAGGGACGGCCGAGAGAAGCTCGAGTCATTACTTTATGAGGTACTTTTGTACATGCAACTGTTCACTGTTCAGAAATTGGTAGTCCCTATAACCACGTGTGCTTAGGTTCCTGGAAGTTTCCACTGCAGTTTATTGTGGCACACAAACACTGATGCATAAGTATTTGGGACCCTCCACCCTCAATACCGTGATCTTTCCTAACATCACATCCCTTCAAATAACTCTTCTCAACAATCCTCTTGTCAATGGACACGCACGATTAATTACAAATACCCTGTTTTTGATATATTGTTTGATCATGCGTGTTGAAACTTGAAATTTGGATCTCCAGGCATTATGGTTGTTGTGAGCTTTTTTTTTTCGTATGAACCGATTTCATTATGTATCTCCGAAGGTATATAGTGAAAATATTAAAGTTATAATTTTTTTTTTCTTCAGAAATTATCTAGTGATGTGCAGAGAAAAAAAATTATTTTTTATATTTTTATTATGTACTACTAGGTAGGGGTGAAATTGGGTTGGACCCGCCTATAGGGACCTACGGTTCAGCCTATGTCAGGCCATATTTGACTTAGTATATTTCGCAAAATAAGCCTGACTTGGGCCTTGAAAAAACTTGTTTAATAAATAGACTGTAGACCCACTTTCACAAGGTCTGACCTATAAGCTTATAGGTCGCCTATATTGTACTATTTATTTTAAATAAAATAGAATACAATAAGTATGCCTTGAAGAAAAAACAAAAGATATAAATTTAATCAATTGCAATTATTTATAACTTAATTATATTCGATTGTTATTTAATATAAATCTGACTTTATTTCTTATGTAGAAGGAACCAACATCTCAGCATATTAAATTGTGTATATGAATATATTAAAATATTTTTGGAAGAAGTTATACTTACTACAAGTATCATGATGTGTTTGTTGGATTCATGTAATTATTTTAATTTACATAGTATGAATTTTTTGTCAGATCTTATGAAATATATGTTCTTTAGTTTAAGCATTTTGTTTTTGAAAGTGATGAGTTTTGTTGTGATTCATGATGCTGTTTGGACGTTGAAATTGTGATTTTTGATTTAATAACATAATTTTAGTATTTTGTGAAGTTGATTCATGGTTCTGCTTGGAAGTTAAAAATTAACAGGCTAAAGGGTTAGAGCAGACCATTTGTTTTTTATATACAGGTCAAGTCAGGCTAACAGTTAGACTTGTACTAGACTTAGACCAGGTCAAATTAAAACTTTTTAGCATAAAATTGGACTTTTGAGACAAAGCATGGTCCAGTCCACTTTCACTTTTACCACGAAGGTATATAATAAAAATAAGTTGC